ATTTTTATGACCAGTCATCACATTTCTCTCCAATATCTAGAACCTTTGGGTAGGATAAGAGACTTCAATTAAAACGCAATCTTCCCCTTTGACCAATGACTCTTTAATTATCTTCCTCCTCACTAACCTCTGCTGATACCATGACAAGTAAGAGAAAATGACTTTTGAATTAGTTCATTGGTGACAAAGTCTTCTAAGGAAACAGTGTTTTATATATATCCATAGATACACGTGCACACACCTGCTCAGCTGCCCATGTGCAAACACGTGCCTGCCATGGAGCATGTATCTACATAGGTCTACATATTCCCTAGAACACAAATAACCTTGCAGAGAACTTGCTACATGTGCCAGGGTTCTTATCTACCCAATTGTGCATACATAGCAAAAACAAACAAAAAAACCCTAATACAACCACACACCCACAAGACAAAACCAAAATCCAAAACCAAACCCCAAACCCACCAAATCCTCAGATGACTCTTAAGTTTGGAGGGACAGAGACTAAGCAAAAAATTAAGAATATTAGCCGGGCACGGTGGCTCATGCCTATAATCCCGGCACTTTGGGAGGCCGAGGTGGGTGGATCATCTGAGGTCATGAGTTTGAGACCAGCCTGGCCAACATGGCGAAACCCTGTCTCTACTAAAAATACAAAATTAGCTGGGCGTAGTGGTGTGTGCCTGTAGTCCCAGCTACTCTGAAGGCTGAGGGAGGAGACTCGCTTAGAACCTGGGAGGCAGAGGTTGCAGTGAGCCAAGATCACGCCACTGCACTCCAGCGTGGGCAACAAAGGGAGACTCTATCAAAAAAAAAAAGAAAAAAAAGAATATGAGTTTCTATTCATTGCGTGCTCACTAAATGCTCAAAACTATACTAAGCACTTTACATATACTGTCTCACCTAGTCTTCATAACAACCCCATAAATCAGATATTAGCACTCCAATTGTTTCTTGCAGGAAGACTGAGGCCGTGGTAAAGTCCCAGTACCCCAAGGGATTATATGCACATCAGTCTTTTTTTTTTTGTTTTTTTAATTTTACTTTAAGTTCTGGGATACATGTGCTGAACGTGCAGGTTTATTACATAGGTATACATGTGCCATGGTGGTTTTCTGCAGCTATCAACCCGTCATCTAGGTTTTAAGCCCCACATGCATTAGGTATTTGTCCCTTCCCTTTGCCCCTACCTCCTGACACATCAATCTTTTTGATATAGCTTGCCAAGGTCACATAACTGGCAATTCACAGAAGCAAACTTTGATGTGCAGCTGTGTTCTGACTACAAAACCTTTGTTCTTAACCACTAGGATCTTAACCATTTGTGTTTTTTAAGAAAAAAAATCCAATGACACCGGTTAAAGCACTGTAACGAAGACTTTTTTCAAGACCATCATGATAGGTATAAAAACAATGGGATATTGTAGTGGGAGGGAGAGAAATTGTGTTTAACTCTGAATATAGCGTGAACAAGTGGGAATTAGTGGCCAAGGGGCAGGGTAGGGGGCCAGTGAATGGAAAATTACTAAGAGGAGTTATTGGGGGAAGAGGGATTCTGGCTAAACTGACCTAACAGGATTCCTGCTGAAGACAGGCCAGGGTGATCAGTCATTACGTGACGGATGGTAGAGGATGAGGAACCTGATCAGATATTGAGGGTGATCAGATATCAAGGGTGGGGGTGTTCTTGCAAAACTTGACTTAGTAGGGTTCTTTGCTAAAACTATATTTTATGAGGAAGTACACATGTATCGACCTAGGAGAAGGTTCAGGAGCCTGATTAAAGTTTGGTCAAAGTCGGGCACGGTGGTTCATGCCTGTAATCCCAGCACTTTGGGAAGCTGAGGCAGGTGGATCACCTGAGGTCAGGAGTTCGAGAGCAGCCTGACCAACATGGAGAAACCTCGTCTCTACTAAAAATACAAAATTAGCCCAGCGTGGTGGTGCATGCCTGTAATCCCAGCTGCTTGGGAGGCTGAGGCAGGAGAATCACTTGAACCTGGGAGGCGGAGGCTGCAGTGAGCCGAGATCGTACCATTGGACTCCAGCCTGGGCAAAAAGAGTGAAACTCTGTCTCAAAAAAAAAAAAAAAGTTTGGTCAAGCAAACCATCTTTGTCAATTTCTATGTCAGGCCTAGAGAGAAGAAATAAATTTATTTTTACTTTTACTCTTATTTTTTGAGTGAGAGTCACACTCCGTCACCCAGGCTGGAGTGCAGTGGTGCCATCTCAGCTCACTGCAACCTCTGCCTCCTGGGTTCAAGTGATTCCTCCTCCAGAGTAGCTGGGATTACAGGTGCACACCACCATGCCCGGCTAATTTTTTGTATTTTTAGTAGAGATGAAGTTTCACTATGTTGGCCAGGCTGGTCTTGAACTCCTGACCTCAAGTGATCCGCCTGCCTAGGCCTCCCAAAGTGCTGGGATTACAGGCATGAGCCACTGCACCTGGTGTGAATTTAATTTTTAATGAATAGCAGCATGAGACATCTTCCACTGCCATCATCCTCAATTTAGAAGGAGAAGCTAGCTATTAAAAAAAAAATTGTAGCAAAATATACACAATATTAAATTTACCTAGTAAACCATTTTTTAAGTAAACTCAGTGGCATGAAGTACTTTCTTTTAAAAAATTATTTTCATTGATACATGATAATTATACATATTTAAGCCAGGCGAGGTGGGATTATGCCTGTGATCCCAGCACTTTGGGAGCCCGAGGCGGGCAGATCACGAGGTCAGGAGATCGAGACCATCCTGGCTAACATGCTGAAACCCTGTCTCTCCTAAAAATACAAAAAAAATTAGCCAGGTGTGGTAACAGGCGCCTGTAGTCCCAGCTACTTGGGAGGCTGAGGCAGGAGAATGGCATGAACCTGGGAGGCAGAGCTTGCAGTGAGCCGAGATTGTGCCACTGCACTCCAGCCTGGGGAACAGGGTGAGACTCCATCTCAAAAAAAAGATACATATTAAAGTGTTCATGTGATATTTTGATACAGGCATACAATCTGAAATGATCAATTTGGAGTAATTAGGATATTCATCACCTCAATTTTTTTTTTTTTTTTTTGATACAGAGTCTTACTCCAACACCCAGGGGCTGGAATGCAGTGGCATGATCACGGCTCATTGCAGCCTCAACCTCCCAGGCTTAGGTGATTCTCCCACCTCAGCCTCCCGAGCTCCTGGAACTACAGATGCTCACCACCACGATTGGCTATTTTTTTTTTTTTTTTTTTTTTTGAGACTGAGTCTTGGTCTGTTGCCCAGGCTGGAGTGCAGTGGTGCAATCTCGGCTCACTGCAACCTCCGGCTCCTGGGTTCAAGTGATTTCTGGCTAATTTTTGTATTTTTACTAGAGATGGGGTTTCACCATGTTGGCCAGGCTGGTCTTGAACTCTTGACCTCAAGTGATCTGCCCACCTCGGCCTCCCGAAATGCCTCATTAGGCATGAGCCATGAGCCACCGCACCCACCCGTGGCTAATTTTTTGTATTTTTTGTAGGGATGGGGTTTTGCCATGTTGCCCAGGCTGGTCTTGAAGTTCTGGGCTCAAGCCATCTGCCGGTCTTGGCCTCCCAAAATGCTGGAATTACAGGCGTAAGCCACTGTGTGCAGCCTCACCTCAAACATTTATTGTTTCTTTGTGTTAGAAACATTTCAAATCTTCTAACTATTTTGCAAAATACGATAAGTTATTGTTAACTATAATCACCCTATTGTGCTATTGAACACTAGAAATTATTCCTTCCATTTAATTGTCTGTACCCATTAGTCAACCTCTCTTTATTCCCCCTGCTACCCTTTCTGGCCTCTGGTATCTACCATTCTAGTCTCCACCTCCATGAGATACCTTTTCTTAGCTCCTGCATATGAGGGAGAACATGTATTTGTCTTCTGTGCCTGGCTTTTTTCATTTAACATAATGGCCTCCTGTTCCATCTAGGTTGGTGCAAATGACAGGACTTTATTCTTTTTTGTGGCTGAATAGTATTTCATTGTGTATATATACTACATTCTCTTTTCTCATTTATCAGTTGATGGGCACTTAGGTTCCTTCCATATCTTACCTTTTGTGAGTACTGTTGCAAGAAACATGGATATGCAGATATGTCTTTAATGCACAATTTCCTTTCTTTTGGGTATATACCAAGCAGTGGGATTGTTGGATCATATAGTAGATCTATTTTTTTAATTATACTTTAAGTTCTAGGGTACATGTACACAATGTGCAGGTTTGTTACATATGTATACATGTGCCAGGTTGGTGTGCTGCACCCATTAATTCATCATTTACATTAGGTATATCTCCTAATGCTATCCCTCCCCCCTTCCCCCACCCCACGACAGGCCCCAGTGTGTGATGTTCCCCACCCTGTGTCCAAGTGTTCCCATTGTTCAGTTCCCACCTATGAATGAGAACATGCAGTGTTTGGTTTTCTGTCCTTGCGATAGTTTGCTCAGAATGATGGTTTCCAGCTTCATCCATGTCCCTACAAAGGACATGAACTCATCCTTTTTTATGGCTGCATAGTATTCCATGGTGTATATGTGCCACATTTTCTTAATCCAGTCTATCACTGATGGACATCTGGGTTGGTTCCAAGTCTTTGCTATTGTGAATAGTGCCACAGTAAACATACATGTGCGTGTGTCTTTATAGCAGCATGATTTATAATCCTTTGGGTATATACCCAGTAATGGGATGGTAGATCTATTTTTAGTTTTTTGAGGAACCTCCACACTGTTTTCCACGGGGGCAATACTAATTTCCATTCCCACTAGCTTTTCCCTTTCTTTGCATCCTGACCGGCATCTGTTATTTTTTTGTCCTTTTGATAATAGCCATTTTAACTGGGGTGAGATGATATTCATTGTGGTTTTAATTTGTATTTTACTGGTGATTAGTACTGTTGAATATTGAGCATTTTTTCACATCTGTTGGTCATTTGTATGACTTTTTTTTTCCTTTTTCCTTTTTTTTTTTTTTTTAAATACAGGGTCTTGCTATGTTGACCACGCTGGTGTTGAACTCCTGGGCTCAAACCATCCTCCCACCTCAGCCTCCCGAATATGTGTGTCTTCTATTGAGAAATGTCTATTCAGATCCTTTGAGTGGTATTAAGTACTTTCATGAGGTTGTACAACCATCATTACTATTTCCAGAACTTTTAAATCATCCCAAATGAAACTCTGTATCCATTAAACAATTCAACTTCCCATTACTTCCCCTTCCCCCAGCTCCTGGTAACCACTAGCCTATTTTCTGTCTCTGTGAATTTGCGTGTTCTGGGTGCCTTATATAATGTTGAATATTTTCAAGTTTTATCCATGGAGTAGCATGTAATGAGGTGTAATATGATTGGACCTTGCAATGAGGTGATCCTGAGAGGCATTATCTGACCGGATCCTGCTCTGGGGTGATACCAGAGCTCCATCTGATTGGGTCCTGGATCCCTGCTATGTGGTGTCCACTTTTATTTATTTTTATTTTTTTAGAGACAGGGTTTCACTCTGTCACTCAGGCTGGAGTGCAATAACGTGATCATAGCTCTTCATAACCTTGAACTCCTAGGCTTGAGTGATCCTCCTAACTCAGTCTCCCAAGTAGTGAGGACTACAGGTGCATGCCACCACACCCAGCAAATTAAAACAAAAAAAATTGTAGAGAAGGGTGGCTCACTATGTTATCCAGGATGGTCTCAAACTCTTGGGCTCAAGTGATCCTCTTGCCTGGGCCTCCCGAAGTTCAGGCATGAATGACTGTGCCCAGCCAGTGTCTGCTTCTCAATTCAGTCCCTGCTTTTGGGTCTGAGCAATTAGATTCCCCCTATAGTTGCACACTTGGTTCATCTGGACATGCCCAGGTTACGTGATCTGAGGGTCCATGGCAACTGAAAAACAACTCACAACTTTGTTACATAAAAGTTGAACCAGATTGGGGAAAAAAAAGTTGAACCAGACTGGTCCAGTGCAGCTACATCTCAATAAATACATGTTGACTCAAAGAAAGAACTAAACCAGACTCGAAAAATTATAAAGTCAAGCCAAGTTTCCTTCTGCTTTTTTTTTTTTTTTTTCTAATGCCTTTCCCCACCTCTGTGATGCTCTCTTTTCTTTCCCTCCTCTGTTTCTCCAAGAAAACATTCTTAGGACAGGACCTAATGAGTGGAACAGTAGAAGGAACCCTGGACTGGAATCAGGATACCAGGGTTTCACCCTGGCTTTGTCACTGGATAATCATAAATTCTTCTCTCAGGGATTATACTCTCCATGAATAACAGAAGAGGATTTGCTTGGCTAATCTTTAGGTTTCTTTCTGGTTCTGGCTTTCCAGATTTCAGGCTACACTCAGACTAAGATGACAGGGTTATTTCTTCCAAGGGTATTTTGCACTGAAGCACAGGACAGAGGAAGAAAGGAAGAATGGTGAAATTCTAGGCATCCTCATGTGGCTGGGAGAGGTATTTTCCTGTCATCATGCACCCTAGGAAAGTAGAAGTAAGGCAGATCCTTATCCCAGCCCCTGAAACCTGCCAACTTGTAAATTCAGCATTGACTCACACTCAAGGAAGTAGCAGAGGACACTGTGGACTAATTCTTGGGAGCAGGGCCTCTTGCCTGGTTGGTGTGAATCCCTGTGGGCAGCTGGTATGAATGGGTCTGGTCCTGGACACTCCCTGGGACTTCATTAGGAATTAGTAGGCCTTTTAGGTAAGCTGGTCATTGGAGAGGCAGGAGAATTGGGGTTTAGTCCGGAGCCTGTCACTTGCCAGTTGTGTGGCTTGAACAAGTCTTTTATCTCTGGGCATCAGTTTCTCCATGTATCACATAAAGGAGTTAGATGCTATGGCCTCCCTCCACACTCTGGCTACCTGAACCTTCCAGTTCCTCAGACACATCATGGTCTTTTCGTGTCCTGGGCATTTGTTCACCTGGAACACTCCCTCAACTCCATCTCCTACCCAACTCACCTGATTTACTCCTTCATGGCATGTCCTTCAGGTCCAGGCTACCTCCATATGAGAGAGTATTGAGTGGAATACAATGTGGAATGGTGGGGACTGTGGAAAACTGCAGACTGTATATTCCACTGAAGCTATTCAAGTACTTAAAAATTATTTTCTATTGTAGTAAATACACATGATATACAATGTAGTATCTTTTTTTTTTTCTTGTGAAACAGTATCTATCTCACTCTGTTGCCCAGGCTGGAGTACAGTGGCATGATCATAGCTCACTGCAACCTTGAACTCCTAGGCTCAAACAATCCTCTCACCTCAGCCTCCCGAGTAGCTGGGACTACAGGTGTATGCTACTATGCCTCACTGTTTTTTTTTTTTTTTTTTTTTTGTAGAGATGGGGTCTTGCTATGTTGCTCAGGCTGGTACTGAACTCCTAGCTTAATGATCCTCCCACCCTGGAGTCCCAAAGTGTTGGGATTATATGTGTGAGCCACTGCACTCAGGCTTCACACTTATATATTCTTAAACATTTCAAAATTCTTCAAATCTGTGTTATTATTGTGAGGTAGGCCTAGAAGGCATAATTATACTCATTTTATAACTGAGGAAAGCAGAGACTCGAAGTTAGAGCTACATAGAGCTCTATAGCAATATAACCTTCTCTAGAGTATATTGTTACTCCTCCCTTTTAAACCTGAGAATGATGTCGTAGTCATTAATGGCCTTCTTTCCGCTGATCCAATACTCTGCCCCAGAATCTTACTTATTACAATGTTCTAGTTAGCTACTACCAATTAGGTGAAGTTGACACTTGAGAGAAAAACTATTTGCCATCCATCTGTGACTGATGTTCCTTGCTTTTGCTATTAGGCAGTTTTAAATATTTTCTTTCTTTCTTTCTTTCTTTCTTTCTTTCTTTCTTTCTTTCTTTCTTTCTTTCTTTCTCTCTTTCTCTCTTTCTCTCTTTCTCTCTTTCTCTCTTTCTTCTCTTCTCTCTTTCTCTTTCTCTCTTCTTTCTCTTCTCTCTGCTCTTTCTCTTTCTCTCTCTTTCTGTCTTTCTTTTGAGACGGAGTCTGGCTCTGTCGCCCAGGCTGGAGTGCAGTGGCCGGATCTCAGCTAACTGCAAGCTCCGCCTCCCAGGTTTTCGCCATTCTCCTGCCTCAGCCTCCCGAGTAGCTGGGACTACAGGTGCCCGCCACCTCGCTCGGCTATTTTTTTTTGTATTTTTTAGTAGAGACGGGGTTTCACCTTTCTTTCTTTTTTTTTTTAATTGAGACAGAGTCTTGCTCTGTTGCCCAGGCTGGAGTGCAGTGGCGCCATCTTGGCTCGCTGCAACCTCCCTCTCCCAGGTTCAAGTGATTCTCCTGTCTCAGCCTCCCAAATAGCTGGGATTACAGGCACATGCCACCACGCCCGGCTAATTTTTCTATTTTTAGTAGAGATAGGGTTTCACCATATGGTCAGGCTGGTCTTGAACTCCTGACCTCAGGTGATCCACCTGCCTCTGCCTCCCAAAGTGCTGGGATTACAGATGTGAGCCACCATGCCTGGCTAGTTTTAAATTTTTTTTAAAAGTTAATGTATTTTTCTTTTTCTTTTTTTTTTTTCTGCATCAGGGTCTTGCTCTGTCACCCAGGCTGGAGTGCAGTGGTGTGGTCATGGCTCACTGCAGCCTTGACGTCCTTGGCTCAGGTGATCCTCCCACCTCAGCCTCCCAAGTAACTGGGATTTACAGGTGTAAGCCACCATGCCTGGCTTTTCTTTTTAGAATTTTCTGTGGTGATGGGGTCTTCCTATGTTGCCGAGGCTGATAAATGTATTTTTCAAGAAGGTCCGAGGCTCACAGATAATAAATTCTACTTTATTTCCACTACTAGGACACACGTGTATACTACTACTCCTGTTTTCCCCCATTAACTTGACTTTTAGGCTTTCTGATTTTTGTTTTCTTCTTTTTTTGGAGACAGAGTCTCACCCTGTTGCCCAGGCTGGAGTGCAGTGGTGTGATATTGGCTCACTGCAACCTCCACCTCCCAGGTTCAAGCGATTTTCCTATCTCAGCTTCCCAAGTAGCTGGGATCACAGCCACCTGCCACCATGCCTGGCTAATTTTTGTATTTTTAGTAGTGATGGGGTTGCACCATGTTGGCCAGGCTGGTCTCAAACTCCTGACCTCAAGTGATCCATCTACCTTGGCCTCCCAAAGTGCTGGGATTACAGGCAAGAGCCACTGCGCCCAATCAGGTTTTCTGATCTTGAATGTCCTGATCTTAACTGAAGTATGTTAGAAAGAAGGGAGGCCACCAGTACTCCAAGGGAGCTCCAGAACAAGGCCTCCGGACTCTCGGTCACGTCTGTTCTTTACTGTAGCTTGTAGCTTAGCTTTTTTTCTTTTTCCCATTGAACTTTGTGTTAAATGGAGTTCATGAAGAAACAGAAAATCTGAATAGACCAATCATGAATAAGAAAAGTGAATCAGTAATAAAAAGTCTTCCATCAAAGAAAAGCCCAGGACCTGATAACTTCACTGCTAAATTCTACCAATTATTTAATGAAGAAGTATACTTCACAAACTCTCCCAAAAAATTAAAGAAGATGGAATATTTCTGAACTCTTTTTATGAGGTTAAAATTACGTGGTACCAAAGCAGTAGAAGGATACTACGAGAAAACAAAATTATAGACCAAAATCCCTGATGAACATAGATATAAAAATCCCAAACAAAATACCAGTAAACCAAATTCAACAGCACATTGAAAAGATCATTCACCATGATGAAGCGGGATTTATCCTTTTATGCAAGGATGGTTCAGCATATGCAAATCAATAAGTGTGATACGTTGCATTAACAGAATGAAGGACAAAAAATGTATAACCACCTCAAAAGATGCAGAAAAGGCATTTGACAAATTCAACATTCATGATTTTTTTAAAAAACCTCTCAACAAATTAGGTATCAAAAAACGTATCTCAACACAATAAATGCCATGTATGACAAGCCCACAGCTAACAAGATACTTCATGGTGTTCTTTATGATCAGGAACAATACAAGGATGCACTCTCTTGCCACTTCCATTCAACAGAATACTGGAAGTCCTGGCCAGAGCAATTAGGTAAGAAAAATAAAAAATAAAAGCTATCCAATTCAAAAAGGTAGGAATTAAATTCTCTGCTTGCAGATAACATGATCTTATATATATAAAATCCTAATGACTCCACCAAAAAACTGTTAGAACTAATAAATTTAGTGAAGTTGC